CTGTGGATAAAAAGTTGATGACCACGAAGGGCCAACTGTAGTTTAACATGAATTAAAACCTTGTAGCTTGGGACGGCTTTGGTAAAATGAATTTGACAATTGTATTTTAGAATATATCTTTATGTTGTTTGTGTGTGTGTGTGTGTGTGTGTGTGTGTGTGTGTGTGTGTGTGTACATATTTGATATGTTAACACAGCCAGCGTTTTCTTTTGTTTGGAGGGGCATATCAAAGGACAAGAAAACAGCAGGCATCCCTTCTCTCTGCCTGCATCTTCTAAGTCCGTGTCTGAATGTACAAGCTTCAACTCCGAAGCCCATGGCTTGCAGGCTCAAGCCGCAGCTGTTCCTTTCCACAAATGAAGCTAATAGAATGGCAACCCACTGCTGTCTCCCTGAAGAACTGGCAAAACATAATAAATCCGTGCATTTTATTCCAGCCTGCCTGCTGCTTCATTTTGACTGCAAGTTGTCTGCCCAGAGCTGTCCAATGCTCCGAAGTTCCAGCCTGTGCCTTTTTTTGCTACCGGTTTACAAGGCTGAATAATGAGAAAGAAGAATCCCAGGAGAACAGTTTGCAGACTCAGTCTTGCAACGTGCATGTCACTGCAAACCCTGTGCTTTCTGCATCAAGCCGGGACAATCTTTTGATTACTCTGTTTCTATAATCCCTTTGCCACATCCAACTCAATAAAGTGATCTGAAGGACTCCAAAGATCACTTTTTGAATGCTATTTAGTGGTCTAAGTAAAGGTAAAGAGCCAGCATGGTGAAGTGGTTTGAATGTTGGGCTAGGACCCTGGGAGACCAAGGTTTGAATCCCCACTTGGCCATCCCTGCTTGGCTGGGGCTACTGGGTGGATTCTGGGCAAGTCACACACTCTCAGCCTCAGAGGAAAGCAATGGCAAAACCCCTCTGATCAAATCTTGCTGAGAAAACCCCATAGCAGTCCAAGTCAAATTCAGATTAACAAGATTCTGGAGGATGAAGCCATGGCAGTTAACGCAGTGTCAAACAGCATTATTTCTACAGCGTAGATGGACCCTCAGTTTCCTTTTATAATGGAGATATTTGCAGAAATTTACAAATGTCATCATATTGATGAAGGAAAGAACTTGAGGTTGAAAATTTGGAGGAAGGGGGAAAAAGGACTGATGGATTTGCCCATTCCTATCAGCCTCAGGGGGAGGCAATGGCAAACCTCCTACGAACACACCATGCCATGAAAACCCCATGATAGGGTCGCCTTAGGGTTGCCATAAACCAGAAATGACATCAATGCACACAACGACAACAACAACAACAACAACAATTCTGTTTTCCTACTGACTAAAGCTCAGTGGCGGTCACTGTCTTTTGCATTAAGTGTGCAATGAAACTGTTTTGGAGTTTATAATAGACTTTAAAGGAACAAACCACTTGCTAGACCTTGCTGAATTACTGTTGTTGTGTGCATTTCATTCGTTTAAGAAGCAGCCTAAAAACTGTGTACACTTCGAACCATCGTCCCCATCAAAACTCATTTCTTGCAGCCTCATCTGTTCCCCAAATTACTACCATCATTCCATAGCAACTGTAGTGCAAATACTTTTTTTTAAAATCACACTAAATGCATGCCTCTACCATTATCGTAAGCTCTTGCCACAATGAAAGCAATTCCCTAACAGCAAAGGCATTAACTCTGAAATCGTGCAGGTCAGCAGTTCAGAACAGGGGTATGTGCACCAAGGGAATTTACATCAGAGACTAAAGTTCTTACTTGGCAGGGAGAGAAATGATTGAGAGAGCTAAAGGAAATGGGCAAATCATTCTTTTACATAAAGAATCAAAGAAACCCTGCTACATTCCTCCGCAGAATGAAACAGCCAAAGTTCACAGCAACCCAGGGTATTTTCATCCACAAACACTTTTTCCATTTGACCCGTTAGACTACATGTGCGAATCATACAGCCTCCTTGGATTATCCTATCAACACACACATCATACAACCTCCTTGGGTTAGCCTATCAACACACACATCAAACAACAATCAGATTAGTCTATCAACGCACACATCATACAACCTGCTTGGGTTAACCTATCAATGCACACATCAAACAACAATCAGATTAGCCTATCAACACGCACATCGTACAACCTCCTTGGGTTAGCCTATCATGCTACCTCCTTCAATTATCCTATCAACACATACATCGTACAACCTCCTTGAGTTAGCCTATCAACACACACATCAAACAACAATCAGATTAACCTATCAACGCACGCATCATATAACCTCCTTGGATGAGTCTATTAACACACATATCATACAACCTTCATGGGTTAGCCTATCAGTGCACACACAGTGAGCTTTGATAGGCTCATGGCAACATAATATTACTATATGAGTGTCAAAACATGCTCCCTGGTTGGCTGGAGTCACCATGAGATGAAAAAAGAAACGGGGCACCATTGGCCATCCGCCGCTCTTGGTAGGGTCCTGTTATACATCTTTGCCATTTAGTAAAAGGGTTGCTTAGCATCTCTGCCATATAGCAAGACCTGACTGCAGCCACACTGCAGAAATAATCCAGTTCTGCACTACTTTAACTATGCCCTGGCTCATGTTATGGAATTTTGGGAACTCTAGTCTTGGGAGACATTTGACCTTTTCTATTAGAGAGTTTTGGTGCCACAACAAACTAAAACTCCTAAGATTCTCTAGCATTGAGCCAAGGCAGTTCAAGTGGTGTCAAACTAGAATACTTCTGCAGTGCGGATGCAGCCTCTGCAGATTTGACAAGCAAAGTTCAAAGAAGCGAATCATCCCAAATCATCCCTGGCCACAAGATGACACACATACTGGCCACAACTATTATGAACAGAATTAAAGTGTGGAATAGTTACAATCTACATTGCTGGAAGGATTATTCCCATGAAAGAAATCACAAGCTTTCAAGGTGTAGTGTGTGCCTACATCTGTCTTTGTCCTCAAAATTGACGGTTATTTTTCGCAATCCAGGATGGGCTCTGATGTACCATTCAAAAAGCCAATAAAATTGACAATGCACAGTCTCAGATTTCCCATGGATTATTCATCCCTCTGTTGGGAATTCCTCCATTTAAGCAGAATTATACACTTCATGGCATACAACAAGCCAGGTTCACGATGGGAAGGAGGCTTATAATCTTACTAGTTAGGGATCAGCAAAAATTGCTAAACATTTCAGGAAATGTTGCTGCCTACCCAAACCCTCCCCAAAAACAAACCTTGGAGGGGGTGGGGGAAGCCAAAATAATGGGGGCTAGAAATCACTCGAGGACTTACATCTTCAGACTTACATATGGAGGAATGAGAATCAAACAGTTTCGTAATGCCCCGAGTTGTCTCCGACTTACGGAGACCCTATTGCAGGGGTTTTCTTGGCAAGATCTGTTCAGAGTGCATTGCCTTTGCCTACCCCAGAGGCTGAGAGAGTGTGACTCACCATCCGAGGTCACCCAGTGGGTTTCCTTGGCCGAGCCGGGATTCAAACCCTGGTCTCCAGAGTCCTAGTCCGGCACCCAAACTACTATACCATTATGTAGGGGAAGGGAAAGGAATATTGTGGAATTAACTGTCTGGCAGTAACCCTGAAAAGAAGCACTCCATGCTGCAATATTTCATTGCAGTGGCCCAGTTTTCTGTCCTCCCATAGACACTTTTGCCTGGCAGGATTTGGCACAAGAATGCAACCAACCAAATTTATGGTCTGGAAAGCATTTTTCCCTTGCAAGAGAAGCTGACTGAACATGCTGAAATCTCCTTAAAAGCTCTCCTTTTTTTGCTGCAGAAATCACTAATAATATTCCCCTGGGTTAAACATGCAGCCCCTTGCTGCAGAATATTCCCTTCCATTAAAGGAAAGGCTTCTTAATGTGCCGTTGGCTTTTGGCCTTGCCGGGAAGAGTAGCAAAAAATTAACATCCCAAGCACTTTTGGAATAGTATGGCATAGCCTTGCAAATTCTGCTGCGCAAGTCACACACAAAAAGTACATCCAAACCAGTCCAGGGTTTGTGTTGTGAGTAGAATTTGCTCGCTTACTAGCAAAAATAGCCTCCCTAGCAATGTAGCCAAAGGGGAAAGAGAACAGACTTGAGCTTCTGCGATGACCCTACATAAGGATACAGAAAGTCTTCCATTTAGAGACAAAATCCCATTCCTCATAAACATTCCTCAGGTCTGTCTTTATAACTCCAAGTTTAATGAGCTGTTTTAAAAATAGCCTCTCCTAAGAGTGGATGAATCTGTCCATGTTGGTTATTCATTTCGCCAATCTTCAGCATCATGTTCCAACCCATTTCTCCATCCGTGTGTGCCTTTTTTAAAGTGTCCATCCTAAAAATGTGCATCTTTGTTCCCTATTCTCCCAATAGGAACATATCTGTAGGCGGTTTTGCCCAGATTTAATTAAAACCGTTGCCTTTTACATAATGCTAATTTAATCTATTTATTTACAAAGAACACGCTAGTCAAGAGTTGGATTAATAAGTGAATGATAAAACTGCACCTCAAATGGACATGCTAAATACAATTGCAGGAGGAACAAACTTATGTAGTTCCCTGGGTTGGAATGATGCACTTGACAACAACCGTATATTATTCTGATTCAAAAATGTGGAACACCGATTAAAATGTCGGTGTTCCATCACGGATTTGTAGGATGAGACAGATTTCCATGGGCATCCTTTAAAATTGCCTTTCAGGGTATGTGCGGTCTCTTTTTAATTGCTTTCTGCCCTATTTTCTTGGACACTGAGTTGTTCCCATTCACTTCTTTTTTTAAAAAAAAAAAAAGCCCAGATGTTTAATTATCCATATAATGATAGATGTGGGATTTAATTGATGATGTTTGTTTATGTTTTTAATGGAACTAATTTGCTTTTTTTGTTATCAACAGAAGAAGGGGTGTTAGGTCACTGCAATGGTCCATCGAGGCACACAGCACATCAAAAGGGCCAAAACTTTACTAGGGGATAAGCTAGCATGGCGTAGTGGTTTGAGCGTTGGACTATGGCTCTGGAGATCAGGGTTCGAATCCCTAGTCAGCCATGGAAACCCATTGGGTGACCTTGGGCAAGTCACACACACTCAACCCAAGAAAACCCCATGATAGGGTCACCATAAGTTGGAAACAACTTGAAGGCAAGCAACGACAACAAAGCAGAAGTACTAGTTTTCCATGAGGTAGATTCTTCCTTAGTCCTGGGTTACATAGGAAGCATGTGCTCCTCTTCAAAGATCTGGAGGACCCATGCTGTTCGCCTATAGCATCATGGAACTAGGGAGGACATGAGCAAAAGATTGGTCTACCATACTGGATCCTGTCTGGTCTTATTATTGTCAAAAGACTTGGACTGGAATTCACGATCACAGTTACAAACGCATGGCCTAGTGTTATGCATTCATTCCCAACCTATATGTATTCATGATCCCTTATTTTAACATATTCAATTTTATTAATAATATTCTCCCCCAGCACCACATTGATTTCCTGTCAGATTTCTTCTGTGTGCCAGGGGATCATCCTAGCACACAGAAATAATGTACATATTCAATGTTGTATAGGGAATGCTTAGGGATTGTAAAAGACTCTCAGTCCGGACTTATTGGGCAACAGCCATTGTGAATGATGGGAGTCTCTTCTCTTGTCCATTGTGGGGAGCAGTAGACTGACATTTCCATCACCAACCTCCTTCTGCTGATCTCTGTTGACTCATATTTAGTTTATGGTCTGCTTTGGTGAACCTGGAGTTTGCTCATTTAGCAAATGGTGAGGTCTCTAGACCAGGGGTAGGCAACCTTTCTCCTTTAAGAGCCGAGGGACTTCAGCTCCCAGAAGCCTCAGCCATGTTGGCCAATAGTCCCATGTTGGCCAATAGCTCCTGGGATTCTGGGAGCTAAAGTCCCTCGGCCCTTAAAGGGGAAAGGTTGCCTACCCTGATCTAGACCCACTCCATGTTGATGGACATGATGAGATTGAGGCAGCATAGTCCATATGGAAGGATTCTGGGAGTTGCATAAATAAATGAGTCTGAGACCAAATCAAGCCTGAACTCTCCCTAGAAGCCAAGACGGCTAAGCTGAGACTGTCATACTTTGGATGTATCATAAGAAGACATGACCTGCTAGGAAAGACACGAATGCTTGGTAAGGTGGAAGGCAGTAGAGTAGTTAGATTTCAGATGGATGGATCCAGCCAAAGAAGCCATGGCCCTGAATCTACAAGACCTGAGCAGAAGAGTTGACTTGGAAGTTTCTCATTCATTGGGTCGCCATAAGTTGAAGTCAACTTGACACAGTTAACAACAATCATGAGTAGACATGACCCACTAGAAAAGACAACAATGCTCACTTAGGTAGAAGGCAATAGGAAAAGAGGAAGACTGCATCTCAGATGGATCGACTCAATCAAGGAAGCCATGGCCCTAAATCTGCAAAACCTGAAATGGATTGTTGATAAAAGGGTGACTTGGAGATCTCTCATGCATGGTTAAAGTTGACATTGACAAGTCAAAGTTGACTTGATGGCAGGTAACAGCAACAACAAACATCAACATCATCAACAACAGTGACAACAAGGATGTTCTCAATCCCTTAAATCCTGGGGAAAAACCTAAAACTTCAGGCCTTAGAAAATCTTAGCTGACCATTCCCTAACTGAATTGGATAGAGTGATGAAAATTGTTTCCAGGGCTCAAAATGCAAATCACGCTCCATCTTTTCCACTAAGCGTGTTTTTCTAATATGTGAGCAGAGCAAAATACCATCCCTCCTCAATTCATCAGCGAGAGGCTGAGAAATGAATCTGCAAGGCATCTGGAGAACTTGAATCCCACACAGAGCGCTCAATTTAGAAAGGTGATAGCAGGACCAAAAGGGAGGAAATTAAAACAATATTGAGACAGGTGCAAAACCGTACCGCACACAGAGGGAGATAAATTGTACACAGGGGGGAGTTATAGGCGCACCAACAAGCAAGCACATCTTTCATTAAAGAATTTCCATGAAGGGGAGTTTGTCATTACCATCCTATAAGGCTGAGAGAGTGTGGCGTGCCTACAGTCGCCCAATGGGTTCCCATGGCTGAGCAGGGATTTGAACCCAGGTCTCCCGGATTCCTAGTCCAAACCACTCCGCTAGGCTGGCTCCCATAATTGTGGATGACAGTAACAAAATTTCAGCCAATATTTTGTTGCCAGATATTATCAATGTTACAAAAAGTACTTGCCACACTAATGGGGGGGGGTTATTTATAATAATTACATAATGAACTACTTTTTAAATGTAATTTTAAAAATTATGATAGCCATTGGCTTATTGCTGTTGCTTTCCAACCGAAGCCAGAAGTTACATGCAAACATAGGAAGCTGGTTTATACCAGCTCAGATTTTTTTGGTAGATATTGCAATAGTTATAGATAGTTATTACTAATTGGAAACTTTTACTATCCATGCTGACTGTCAATACCTCTCCAAGGTGTCATGCAAAGAGATGGATCTCTCCCATCACAGACCCCTATTCCTTTAAAATGAGAGTTGATCTATAATGTTATAGGTGTAGAATATTAAATGAAAAAGATTGTCAGTGTTAGATATTGATGGGTAATGACGGGTGATGGATGTAAAAATAAGATATTGTATTACAATAAATTAGAAGATAATATTATAATATATTACAATTTAAAAAAAAAAGATTTGACTATCTTTAAGAAACTACAACAGGTTTGAATATATTGAAGAAACATCAAGACTTTGTTAATAAGGAAGACTTCCAAGCTGTGTTTGTTTGTGTATTTATGTAGAAGTGTTAAATGTTGTACATTTTCTATGTAGCAATAAAAAATTTTAAAAAATGAGAGTTTCAAGGACTCAACCACCATTCTGCATGCAAAGGAGACCTTTTAGCAGCATTGAGCTAACCTAACCCAAAGCAATGAAAAAGCAGAACATAAAAATATGACACGAAGTAAACAGTTGGTGCCAAAGATAACCTTGTTCTGCCCTTAGCCCTTACCCCAAAGGGGTGTAGTTCTTTCACTGCCTTACAGAGAACATGACACAAAGCCTTTAGCCTTGCGATGTGTTGGTTTTATCTCTATGGGATTTTGCAATTAAAACATCATTAATTGCCTTGTGCATTTGATCTCCAGATAGTCACCAAATGTTTGTAGGGAAAAGAAAGCAAGAGAGAGAGAGCATTGATGCTCTGGATAAATGAATGGATATAGGGGTCACAGTGGCTGGGTTTATCATTGGTCCCTTCCCCTATTAAATCTCTTCTTTCTCCTTTTTGTGGCTCTTCTCAGCCATTGTTTCCTTTCTCTGATGCTACGTCTGCCCTAGAGATGCTACATTTGCAACACTACCCTTTCCTACATGATTCCAACTAATCAGGGATCACATAGAAAGCATGACAACATTTCGTAAACACTGTAGAGATAAAGCGCTTCGATGCCACTTTGTCATGGCTCCATCTTGTGGGATCCTGAGATTGCAAAAGTAGAAATCCCAGGATTCTGTAGGAAAGCATCACGGCAGTTCAAGTGGTCTCAAAGTGCTTTATTTTTGCTGTCTGGATAAGCCCCCAGTCAATGCAGAATGAAGGCATTGTCAGTTTGCGCTGGATCTACTACACTCGCCGATCGCCATAAGTTGATAAGCTGGCACAATATACACACACACGTACCGTATAGGATGCAAAGGAAAGGAAAACGGTGCCAAAGAAGTTGCAAAATCCTGGCAGGCGTAACTGTTTGTGCTCACCCTAAAGTCTGGATGGATGAGAAGCGAACTGAATTGTGGCTGTGTGACGTATGGGGTAGGCAACCAGGCATAGGGGAAGGACACAACCCTCACTATTAGTTCTGAACATATCTCCCAAAGGATGTAAAGGGTGACGCAAAGAAAATGGCAACTGCGTTAGCACAATTATTGGATTCCTTTGCAACTTTCCGTTTGAACATGACATGCAAGAAGCTCTCATGTTCTTTTCCGAACACATTTTTGCAGAGGGTCAGAAGTTACCGTTCTGTTTTATATATTACTATAATAACCACGGGAATTGATTGTAGGATTTATTGACATATTAAACACACTTAAGTGAAGGCCTTAGTACTATAAGGAATGACTTTCTTTCTGGTGATGAGTAACATAAAGTTTCAAATAATGGAATTAATGCATACAGACAAAATGGCTACCAGTACGTCATGATTCGCTCGAGTATTTGGATACAGACGGTTCAGATGGCAAAAGGGGGAAAAATATTCAGAGACCAAAAGTATTGCACAACAATTAACACATTTTTCAGCCGCCGGATGGTTCAGGCATGACTCTCAGTCTCTGAGGCCATTGACTCATCTTAATAGATCATCACTAACTCAACTCAACTGGAAACCAGCATAGTTGTGTGCCTTCCAATAATTTCCAACTTAGGCCGACCCTATCCTGGGGTTTTCTTGGCAAATTTCTACAGTGAGGGTTTGTCTTGGCCATCCTCTGAGGCTGAGAGAGTGTCACTTGGCAAAGGTCAGCCAGTAGGTTTCTATGGTCCAGCTGGGATTCAAAACCTGGTCTCCAGAGTCACAGCCCAACGCTCAAACCACTACTGAACCACAGATAAATTGAACCAGGTTTTTAGGGCATGTTTTTAGACTAAAAATTATCGACTTATAGTCACGTATATAGAGCAAGTTTCTTCTTGAATGAAGCAAAGAGTAATTTTAGCAATTTTCTTCCCGCTGTGAGAAAGTCTTAGAAAAGCACACTTAGCAAAGCCTATTCGCAATTTGGGACTTGGTTTACACAAAATTCCCGAACGGTTGCTTTGCACAGAAAACACAGGCAAAAAGAAGAAACATATCTTCACGTGTTTATTGATGGTAGCAATTTATTCTTTTAAAATGTTTTATTATTATCTCAGCAACAGAAAGTTGGTTTAAAATCTCTCTCCTTCAAGTCATTTCCGACTTACTATGGCAACCCTAAGACAACTTTATCATGGGGTTTTCCTGGCAAGATTTGTTCAGAGGATTTGCCAGTGCCTTCCCCTG